GAGAGAGTAGAGAGAGTGAGGAGAGAGAGAGAGAGAGAGAGCGTGTGTGTCTGTGTGGCTGATTAGAAAGGGGCTCAGTTGGACGATGGGGTCATGCTAGGGGTTGAGCTTGTCGGAGCGTGGGCCGTCGCACTGGCATCCTCGCGGCCGCCCGCTGTGAGGGAGCGTGGTTAGAGGCGGGGCGCGATCAGGGGAAAGCAAAGAGTGGTGTTGAGGAGCAGGCGGTGACGACGTGTTGACGGCCAGGCGGCTCCGGCAGTGGGGGAAAGACGGGCTGGCCGGGCTGGGCTGGGGTGTGCTGTGCCCGTCGATCTTCCGATGGACCAGAGGCGAGATCAGGGGCAGCGCGGCGAGACAATGGCAGCGGCGGCGGCGAGGTGGGAGGTATCGATGGCGAGGGGGCGGATCGCGGGGTCTCGTGGTGGTGGTGGTGGTGGTGGTGGTGGCGGGGGCGATGTTGCGGGCGGCGGTGGCGGTGGTGGTGGTGGTGATGGTGGTGGTGGTGGTGGCAGACGGGCCGACGACGACGGCAGCGGCGATTAACACCAGCAGGCTACTCCTGACGAGGGCGAGAGGGGGCTGGTGATGGCGATCAGTCAGGAAAGAGAGAGGCTGCAGGCAGGCCAGCGAGAGAAGCAAGGCAAAGAGCACAGCTAGCACAGCAAACCAGGCAGGCAACCAACAGCAATAAGCAAGCAAGCAGCACGTTCGGATCGCCGCTGCACTCTGCGCTGTCGTTGCGCCAACCAAGCCCGTCTGGCACGCCTACCCATGCACGCACGCACGCGCACACGTACACGTACGACCAGCAGCAGCCCGCCTGCCGTGCGTACGAGCGTCGTGAGCGGCCCGCCATGAAATCACGGGAAAAAAAGGCGAGGCAAAATGGGCAAACAGCGCAGGCGGGCTGGCCAGCGGCGTTTGGCTAGCGGGCTGGCTAGTGGGCTGGCTTGCTTTTTGGCGGGCGACGGCTCATCAGGGTCCATCCACGCAGGCCAACCAACACCGCCTGCCTGCCTGCCACCAGCCTGGCCTGGCAGGCCTGCCTACGCCTACCCTCTGTCGCGACGCCGACCCTTGAGCAGCTGAGCCCACGCTCACCCTCCGGCCTCCCATCAGACTGCCGAGGAAGCAGACGGGCAAACCAGCAGCACCGCCACGCCGGCCCAGCCGATGATATGGAAGCGCAGCACCGTACCCACGGCGACGCCTGGCGCGCGTCACGTACACACGCTCTCGCTGCGGCAGGCAAGCAGGCAAGATCGAGCGACGACAGGCTAGGTAGGCCCTAGTTGGGCGCGCGACGAGACGTCGACAGGTGCCGGACACCTCTCTCTCTTCCAAGTCGCATCCCTTTAGCCCCCTCCTCGATCGGCCATCATGAAGCTCGCCGCAGCTCTGCCGCGGTGGCGCCCAGTGCCATGGCCGCCGCCACGGCCAAACAGATGGACTGCTCACGCTTGACGGCGGACACGCTGGCACGGCGATACTGCGGGGTCGACCGCTTCTACCGAGGCCTGCCTGCCTGTTCTCTCGGGCCCGGCGGTAAGTTGCCAGCCTCCGAACCGCTGCACGATGGGCTCCGACGCTTTGACGGTGCGCTGCGGAGACCTTCACGGTAGATCTGAGCCCCTGGATCCGTGAGGGAGCTCACCCGGGCGCACGCGGGGACCTGCGCTTCTGCTGTGGCTCAGGCTTGGATGGCACATCGTTTGGCTTCGAGCCGCAGCCGGTCCATCCATGCCTCGGCCCAGGAGACCAACGACGTGCAACGCCATCCTTCCGGCCCGATGGCCATCGTAGGGCTCTGCATAGCATCGGTTTTGCCAGTCCGTATCACGTAAAAGCATGCGGCAGCGGCGATGGGCAGGCACACCCACCCACGTAGTACCTGCTCCTGCCGGCCACTCCTTCGAGGGGACTGACCACGGCACGCGCCAGAAACGGCGGCGGTCCAGGTGTCCCCGGCCGGTGGGGCGCATCCGCAGCACAGCAAGGCAGGCAGGAAGGCAGGCCCTGCTCCGTCCTGTCCTCCGGCGCGGTGATTGTGGCAGCGGGGATCGAGAAGAGGATAAATGAGGAGGCTCGTCCAGGCGGGGTGGGCCAGCAGATCGTCGACGCCTCGCATCGCCCCACAAAGAACGACTTGCGCCACCTCGGTGAGCCCAACTTCCTCGGCCGTCCTGTTGCTCCGATGAGCGCCAGATGCTGATGCTTCTCCACCGTCGTCCTTTCTGGTCGCGCACAGCACAGGACGCAACCATGAACCTCGTCGCCGTCGTCGCAATCGCAACCACTGCCCTGCTGGCGTCCTCGGGGGCCGAGGCGGGCATCATCAAGCTGGACACGTGGCGCGCCCTCTCGGACGACGGCAGGATCACCTACCGGTGCACCGTCGACCCGAGCGCCAGGTCCTACTTCCTCGGTCCCGCAGGCTGCAAACCGACGGGCGACTGCTACATGAGCTACGATGCCCTCTCCATGACCTGCGATGCCATGGGCGGTGGTATGGACAGCTACGACACGCCCAAATAGGTCAGGGCGGCAGCACAAGGGCGACCGATGCCGTCGCCCTCCAGCACTGGCCCTTGAGACTGGGGACGTGGGTCGACGGGCGGTCATGATGGTGCCGGGAGGTTGATCGAGGAAAGAAGGAGTCACCCTTCCAGCAGTAGAGTAGCAGTACGCAGACGACCATTCACGGTCTCGACTTGCCGCTTGACATGGTCATCCTCTGCGTGGGCGCGAGATTCGCCCGCTGCTCGTCCACGACGCTCCTGGCACACGTCGCTGCCGCCCAGTCTGTCGGCCCGTCTCGGGTGATCCCGTGTGGCGGATCACGGCGGCCGCCACCGTCTGATCTGCCAGACATGGCCTCCTAGACTTGGTATCGTCGAGGAGACCGCCGTTGGCCACGCAGGGGCAGGTTCGCCGGGCCCTCTCGCGCGAGACGATGTCGTGGGTCGCGGCGGATCTCCTCCACGTCCCATCGCCTTCCGTTTCCTGACTCCCGACCACAACCACCACCACCACCCTCTGCTCTCCATCACGGCGTCGCACCGGCTCGATCCTCGACCTTGACATCCGCCGCGATATGACCACCGAGCCAAGCTTCGCCGATGCACGCCTGAGCGCCGTCGAGGCGCGGCTGGACGAGGTCCAGGGCGTCGTCGCGCAGCTGCAACACTACATCCGAAGCGACCCCGCTCCGGCAACCGCGTCCGAGCCGTCGCCTTCGTCTTCTTCGTCGTCATCGACGTTGTCCTTGGCTCCGCGACCGCAGCCGCGTCCGCAGCAAGGGCAGGGGCAGGGGCAGGAGCTGTCGCACGATGACTGCCCATCCACCGCAGCACGGCAAGACACGCCGAGCCGCACCGACGCCGCCACCGCCATCGCCAACAACACGCCGTCGCAGCTCACCGACATCTTCCCCTGGCTCTCCGTATCGACGATCGCAAGGATACCCAGGGGTGCGTTCCGACCCGTCCTGCTGCCCACCCTCGCCGATCCGCTCAACACGCTGGTCAACAAGGCCGAGCTGCTGCGGTACCTCGACGATGCGCCGCGCTCCGACGACGACGACGAGTACGACTACGATACCGACGATGCGGTGCACGTCCACCTCGACTGGAAGCACGACCGGTCCGCTGCCCTCGCACGCTCCCTGCCCACCCCCGCTGCATTCGCATACTGCTGGACGCTCTTCACGACAATCGCAGCACACAGCTCCCGGGATCCTCTGTTGGGCGCCGCGTTGGCGTCGCACCAGCTGCGGATCCTCAAACACTCGGCAACGTACGAGTGGAAGGCCGTGATGCACTACCACCTCGCCTTTCACTGCCGATATGCCGCCGACCTCTCGAGCCAGGTGTGGTCCAAAGACGATGTCGGGCTGAGGGACAGGATCCTCGTTCGATCCGTGGCGCGAACTGCGAGCCGTCGTACGTCGTCATCGTCGTTGTCGTTGTCGTTGTCGTCGTCATCGTCGTCTCCCCGTTCACTCTGTTCGATGGCGGCGGCGGCGGCGGCGCCGGCCAGGGAACGGGATCTTCTGACTGTGCCCACCCGTCCTAGGACGATGGAGGACGTGGTTGCGCCTCGTCCCACGCGACGCAGGCGCATCTGCTGAGCCACCCCTTCGTCTGTTGGTGCCACACGCGACGCTTCCAGCCGTCCATCGACTTCCATCTTGGGCCCATGTCATGATCGCAGAAGCGACCACACCGCCGAGTCACGCTCTACATCGATACCCCAGCTGCTTCTGGATCTGCAGATCCATGCCGCCCCCCGTTGCCGAGCAGGGCCAAACTCGACCCGTCGGCTTGCCAGCACACGTCCTACACGGCGCGGAGCCAGCCCTTCCCAGCCGCTCCTCTTTTTCTGCGATGCATCCTTTCCTTCGAGACTTACCTGGTCCGCCTCGCCTCGACGAGGGAGTTGTCCGGCTGCGCGTCCGTGTCCGCATCCACGGCACTTTGCTATGGCCGCCTTCGGCAGCGCCGGCGCGGCCCGACGTTAAATCGCACGCAGTGAGGATTGACGATACGAGTACAGGGACCGGACACCCGGATCGAATGGGGATACAAGTACAGAACGAGGTGCTCGACGTGCGGGCCGAGCAGAGCAGGGCAGGGCAGAGTTGGAGATCGCACGGTGCGACGGGGACGCGCGCGCGCTTCTCCCGTCAGGCCCGGGCCCTCGTTGGGCGGCCAAAGGCGACGAGGCGCAGCTTGCGCGCGTCGCGCGGGTGCTGGACGGCAAAGTTGGCGCGCACCGCCAGCTCGACGAGGGCCGGCTCGTAGCTGCGCTGCGGCCGGTCGCCCACCGCCCCACCGTCGATCGGACCAGTCACCTGCAGGTATGGGTCCTGCGGCACGTCCCAGGCGCGGTTCATGAGTTCCTGCAGGGCGAGCGTGGTAGTGGCGGTGGTGGCAGGAGGAGGCAGACGAAGGTAAGGGAAGAAAGGGGCAGAGTCGCAGACACTCGGTCAGCCGGAGGAGCCGTCGCCGACGGTGCATCAAGCGGTCGCGATGCGACGGTCCGGACGCTGCGCACCTCGATAAAGAAGCGCATCGACTTGACGCGCTGGCGGTCGTCAAAGAGGTTCGAAGTGAGCTTGATGAGCTGGCCGAGCAGGCTGCGCATCTGCGTGTCGTGCGCCTCAGTCTTGCGCTGGAGCTTCTTGAGGACCTCTTCGCTGCCCTGCTCGCGCTCGTCCGCCAGGCGAGCCTCGACTTGGTCGAGACGCTTGCGCAGGCCGGCCTCGACGATGCGCAGGTCTGCCAAGAGCTGCGTGTCCGAGGCGAGCAGCGACTGCTCGGTCGTCAGCTGGCGCTCGAGGCGCGGCAGGATGGCAGCGTACTGCGAGCAGAGGTCTGCCAGCGCTGCGCGGGTCGTCGTCGCCGACACGGCCGAGGGCAGCGGCTCGGGGGCGTGGGCGAGGTCTGCAGGCGGGCGCGAGGGCGAGAGGCGAGAGCAGGAGGGCGCGATAGGACGAGGCGGGCAGTCAGCGCCGACGAAGCGCCGAGCCCGGAGAAAGGGCGCGCAGCTCACCATTCTGGAGTCGGTCTATCTCCCAATCAAGCCGTTCGAGCTCGAGCTGGGTGGGCAGTCGGCAGTCGGGCGGTCGGAGCGTGTCAGCGGCGCGGTCCGAGACAGGGCGCGAGAGCGAGAGGAAGGAGGCAGACTGCCTGGCTCACCTCTTTTGCAACACGAGATGCAGACAGAGACGGGCGCTGCTCATCTGCGCGTGTTGATTGCTGCTCTACGAGCTGTGCCAGTCTCTGTTGGGTGCAGGGGATCGACGAGGATGTTGGCGGTAGGGTCGGTCAGCTCGTGCCGGCGAGACGGAGCGGGCGGCGCGAGGAGGACGCACCTCGTGTAGGTTGGCCTGAATGGCATCGTTGCGCGCCCTTTCGTCGTGGTAGAGTTCGACGAGGCTCTGCAGGTCGAGTTCCGGGCTGACGCTGCCTGCGCCGTCTGGCGATTGGTCGTCGTCGCCGCCGTCATCGTTGGCGGTGGACGAGTCACGCGGCGGTGCTGGTGTGCTGCGCTGGTTGAGTGCCTCGGAGCGGGCGGTGGCCTGTTCGAGTGCCGTCTCGCGCAGCACGCGGACAAAGTCGACGAGTGAAGGGTCTGCGGCCATGGCCGTGCAGGTCTGGGACGATTGTTCCGGTGGTTGGGAGCGGCTACTCCGCTGGTTGGGGCGGCTCCTCCGATGGTCGGCACGGCTGCTCCGATGGTTTGGGAGGCTCCTCCGGTGGTTGGATCGGCTGGTCTGGTGTTTGGAGCGGCTGTTCCGATCCCTGAGGCGGCTGCTCCGAAAATGTGTTGAAACAGGGCGAGAGATGGTGGTGGTGGTGGTGGTGGTGGTGGTGGTTGGGTCAACGAGGCCCAGCGTGGCCAGGCCTGGCCAGGCAAGCTCGGTGTTGGTCTCTCGCGTCGCGCTTTGGCTGCCTCGCCTCTTGGGCCTCTGCACAGCTGCTGCTGGAAGAGGTGGAGGGCAACTCGGCTTTTCTCCTTCGCATCCTTCTGACCGCCATCGCCATCGCCATCACCACCATCCCCTTCGCCTCCTCCCTCAGTCTTTTCTCCTGTCTGCTCGGCCCGCCCGCCCTTGTGCCGCACCCCATGCTGCGCTCAGCTCGTCGCACCGTGCTGCAAGGTGCGAGGACATCCGCACTGGGGCTTCTCCAGGGCGCAACGGCGGCAGTCCGCTCCCAACTCGCCTCGACGGCCGCACTCCGCCCAACAGCGCCTTGGTGCCCGCCGGCCCGCCCTCACACTCATTCGGCGCTTCGTCCCATCGCCGCTCGATGCCGCGCAGAGGTGCTCAGCACGACGGACACATCAGCAGCACCGGACACTACAACTTCACCCGCCCGTCGCTCTGCATCTTCCTCTGCCGCCCCGCACCACGGCGTGCAGCTGCGGCCGTACCAGGAAGAGTGCATCCAAGAGTGCCTCGCCGCAATCAGCGGCGGCGTCACTCGCATCGGCGTATCGTCACCAACAGGAAGCGGAAAGACGACCATCTTCACCCACCTCATCGACCGCATCCCCGCCCGCTCCCGGTCAAGCCCTACGTCCCTCCGCGACGACGTCGAAGACGACAGCTCGGCTGCCTCCTCGTCGTCCGCCCCGCTCGCCGCCGACCGCGTCCTCGTGCTGGTCAACTCCATTGAGCTCGCTCTCCAGGCCGCCGCGTCCATATCCTCGACCTTCCCCGAAAAGCTCGTCGAGATCGAGCAGGGCGCAAAGTTCCGCGCATCCGGCTTCGCCGACGTCACCGTCGCCACCGTCCAGACCCTCCATCGCAGCAAGGAGCGCCTGGAAAAGTTAAATCCGGCCCTCTTCAAGGCCCTCATCGTCGACGAGGCCCACCACGCTGCAGCTCCATCCTACCGCGACGTGCTCGCCCACTTTGACCCAGACGTCGCCAACGCTGCCAACATCGACGAGGGCGATGCCGCCAGTGCCGACGACCCTGCCGATGCACCCACCGGCTCCAAGATCCCCATCGTCGGCTTCTCGGCCACCTTTACCCGCCACGACGGCCTGGCGCTTGGCAAGGTCTTTGAGCGCATCGTCTTTCACAAGGATTTCCTCGAGATGATTGGCGAAAAGTGGCTCTGCCCCATACGCTTTACGTCGATCCGCGCCGACATCGACCTCGCCTCGGTCAAGCTCTCGTCGGCCAGCGCCGCCGCCGACTTCCAGGCGTCGTCGCTCGCGGCCGTCGTCAACACGCCCGCCGTCAACCGCCTCGTGCTCAAGGCCTGGGAGGAGCGCGCGCGCGGGCAGCGCAGGTCGACGCTCGTGTTCGCCGTCAACGTGCAGCACGTCGAGGACCTCACCCGCACCTTTTGCGACGCCGGCATCGAGGCGCGCTGCCTCCACGGCGGCACCCCGATGCTCGAACGCCGCCAGCTCCTCCAAGACTTCCGCGCGGGCCGCTTCCCCGTCCTGGTCAACTGCGCCATCCTGACCGAGGGCGCCGACGTGCCTGCCATCGACTGCGTGCTCCTCGCCCGCCCCACGCGCTCGCGCAACCTCTTTTCCCAGATGATCGGCCGCGGGCTCCGACTGTCGCCCCAGACGGGCAAGCACGACTGCCTCATCCTCGACATCGTCGGCAATCTCCAAAAGGGCGTCGTGTGCACGCCGACCCTGTTTGGCCTCGATCCGGACGAGATGATCGACGGCGAGACGGTTCAGTCGCTCCAGGAACGCGCCGAGATGGCCGACGACGCGCTGCTGGGCGACGACGGCCAGGCCGACGCCGACGCCGACGACGCCGACGCCCTCAGCATCGCGCAGTCCACCACGCTCACCTACATCGACTACGACGACCCCTTCCAGCTGCACAAGGCGATGCAGGCGCGCTCGCGGGTCGTCGAGACCATGTCGCCCAACGCCTGGGTCGACTGCGGCGCCCAGACCTACATCCTCGACGTCCCGCGGTTCGGCTTCGTCCGCGTCGAGCGGCTCGAGGACGACGCCGAAGAGACGCAGCAGAGCGATCGAGATGCTGCGACTGCCCACGGCACCGGCGACGGAGCGCAGGATGGCAAGCCACGCTGGGTGTCGCATTTCACACCGGTCAATTCGGATGCCGACGAGAGCATGGCCGCCATGGGCGGAGGCGGAGGTCGCGGGCCCCGGCGTTTCGGCGTCGCCCGGTCGCCGTACCGGCGCGCCCGCCGCGTGCTCGAGTCGTCGGACCTCGAGGGCGCGATCCGCGGTAGCGATGGATACGTCCAGAAGCAGATCCTGCGCGGCAGCCCGCAGCTCTACTCGACGCTCAGCCGGTACGCAAAGTGGCGCAGCACCCGCGCCTCGGATAGCCAGCGCAAGCTTGTCGAAAAGCGGCTCGGCCTGACCAAGGCGCTGGCGAGCCAAGTGGCGGCGACCTCGTCGGACCCTTCGACCTCGTCGTCGGTGACTTCGGTGGTGTCGGCCACCGCTTCGCTGACCAAGGGCCAGGCGTCGGTCATCCTGACGCGGCTGATGCACGGCGCCAAGGCCCGGTGGCAGCAGAGGGCCAAGCACTCGAACAAGCTCTGGAAGCAGGCCGAAAAGGAGCGCGCGCGCGTCCAGAGCGAGACGGTCCAGGTCGGCCCGCTGCGCTAGGGTCCCGCACGCCACCGTTCTGCTACCACTCAGCCCCGGCCGCGCGGAGTGCCGGGCGGCCGATTGGCTCAGTCTTTCAGGTCGTCGCCGGCGGCGACCGCACGCCATCGGCACCCTCACCGCCCCGCTCGCCGAGACGAGGTGGGCCTGCGGCCACGCCCGACTTCATGTGCGGCGACCCGTCCCGCCACCCACAGAGGTCGACTTGACTTGGCAAGCCCCGGTCGTCGACCTCGTCCGCGCAATCAGCCTGGCACGAGGAAGTCCGTGGCGACGAGCCCGCCCGATCTCCGGTTTGCTCCAGCCGACCCACCTGGCCAAGCTTCCTCGGTTCCTTCCCACCGCCTCATCTCGTTCGCAGCCCGGAACGCTCGGTCGACTCCGTCACCTGGAAGCTGTTACGACCCCGTTGGGAACGCAGCGAGTGTCTCTCGGGCCCGGATGCGCTTATAAAGCGAGCCTGAGCAGGCTGTCGAAGGGTCTCTCCACCTGCTTCCCTTCGGCCAAGCATCCAAAGCCTCGTTCTCACCGTCCTTCCCTCCGACGAGACTACACTCCAGCCCTCGCCGCCACCTCCTACCCACGATGGCACCGTTTCGCCTCTGGGCCGCACTCATCGGCACGGCGCTCTTGCCTGCCGCCTTTGCGCCTTCGCCCGAGCCGCTGTGGAACGCCATGCATGACGCCGCTGCCGAGGCGGAGCCCGCCGTGAGCGGTCACTTTGCGCCTGCCATGTCCGCCGGCGAGCACGACCCGCGCTGGTATGGCGGCTTGCCGGCCGGCTACGAGCAGACCGGCGCCAACTACCAGCGCTATGGTCATGACTATGGCCACGACCATGGATATGGCGGCGGCTTCTACGCGTCGCCTCATCCGAACGAAGGCCAAGGCCTCGGCAACATCCGCTGGTCGCCTGAACGCTCCAACTTTGACTGGAGTGTGCAGCCACCTCCGTCGTCTCCCGGCTCGGTTCCCGATCTCGACGGCCACTACGGCCTGCCGTCACCCGCCCCGATGACTGAGCCAGTCTCGCCCCGCGATCCGTGGTCGCATCAGCATGTCGGCGGCAGCGGTGACGAGGACGACCAGACGGTGGGCGCCTGGCGGCAGGACCCGCACGCTGGCGCGGACCAGGAGATGGATCCTGGTCGATATGCTGGCCCCTCTTCGTCACCAGCACGCGCTGATTTCGCCCCCGCCGTGTCCGGACAGCCGGAGCTCAAGTCCGCATGGGATAACTTCGTCGCGTCCAGGGGCGCGGCCAACATCTTTTCAGCGGAAGCGGTGCGGCGCCTGCCCCGTATCGCGCTATGGAACGATGCCAGAGTCTCGCTGCAAAAGGTGTGGGCCAGCCCGGAGCAGAACGAGCTTGTGCTCGACGTCGTCAAGGCGTGGTATCGATCCTGGAAGATCGGACACTCGAACCTCGAAGAGGAGCTGCGCGGCATCACGCCGATGCAGATGTCATGGTCTAACGACAAGCTCCTTGCCGCTTACAACCGGTACCAACACGTGCTCGAAATCGACGCGGATATGGCGTGGCAGGTGCTGAGCGCGCCCAAGTTGTTCTTCTTTGACCCGAGCCGGGAATACCGGATCGTGCTCGCCGGGCCCAACTCCATCGGCAAAGGACGCAGAGGCCACGCCTTCAGGGCCGTCGCCCTTCCGCGCGACAGGTCGCTACCCGCCATCTTCTTTCACCTGATCCAGGTACCGGCTTCGCTGCTCGACTAGCTCAACACTGAAGACCTCTGGAGATGACACCCAGCGGCTATCGCTCTCCCAGCCGACACCTCGCGATCGGTGCCGTCGTCGGTCGTTCGGGCAAGACGACAGGGGTGCCAGTGGCAGAGACCGGGGCGGCAGCAGGGCGGGCCTGGCCCCACGGTGGGCAGCGTGCAGTGCGGGGTCCAAGGAGATCAGATCTTTCTGGGCGGTTTGGATGCGTAGAGTCAGAGGAAGGGGTGTCTTGTGTTCCAGAGTTGCTAGCGGTCCCAATTCATCCGACACTCTCGACAACCTGGAGCGATGTCCAACGACATCCGGCCGTGAGGCCAGACCCCGTCCATGCCTGACTGTCCATACCGCGACAGCACATCCGCACCGCCTCCCTCCTCGCCACGATCTCTCATCGACGCCGACGCGCCGACGCGGCCAAGATGGACGAATGGCCCGCGGCCGGATGGTGCGGCGAGACGGGGCGTAGCGATGCAGCGCAGTAGCAGCAGGCTAGGCGTATGTATGTGGGCCCGCGGCGGACCTTACGCCCCGAGCAAGGCGACCAGCGGGCCTGGTTTCTCTTGCCAGCCCCGACCAGCTCGCACCATGGCACGCAAGTCCCGCCGCTTGATCAAGCACGCCCAACCGAGCAAGAAACAAACGAAGGGGCTCTGCCATGCGTCCTCGAGGCGTGCCCGGAAAGTCTCGGCGCGGGTATATGTATAGCAAGGACGCAAGCAAGCAACGATGGCAGAGTCGACCGACTAAGAGGCAGGCAGCTAACCCCTCGTGAACCAAGCACCCGCGACGTCCGCCTCCCTCGACCGCTGCCGCTACCACCGCGACGTCCAGGATGGCGCCCTTCCGCCTGTGCGCTGCGGTGCTTGCCGTATCGGCCGCCCTCCTCCTTTCCCCTGCCCTCGCACCTCCTCCATACCCACAACGACTATGGAACGGCCTGTACGACATCAGCTCCGGAGCAGAATCGTTTGCCGCCGACCACTTTGCGAACGCCGTGACGACTGGCGAGCACCAAGGCGCAGCAGGCTGGCCACGCTACCACGACTACGGTGTGCCGTCAGACCATGGCGCGCAGCCAGGTACCTCAACCAGCGGCGGCTACCAGCACTTGGGCCATGGCGAAGGCTACCGCTCGGCAGCCCCATCGCGTGGCAACCCCTGGATGCGGGCGGGCTATGGAGAAGCTCCCGCGTACCAGCAGGTGAGTCGCACCACGACGGACCTCTTCGGCTGTCCGCGGCTCGCGTGATCCCGTGCTGCACACGGCACTGGCGCTGATTCGCACTCGCACACCTTTGTTGGCCAACCACCACCATCCACTCGCCGTCCTTCTTCCATCGCACCTTTGCCGCTTGCCGCTACACAGTCGACGGAGCAGTCCGAGCGCTACCCCGCCCTGCGCTGGTCGCCGGAACCGTCGTACTTTGGCTCGAACTCTCACCCGCTCTCCCCGTCACCTCAGCCCTTCGATGACTTCGACGCCCCGTACCGCTCGCCGGATTTTGGTCACGCCGAGAGCTATGCGTCCGGTGGCCACGGTCCCAACGACGGCGATGCGAGCCTCGGTCGCGTCCCAGTCGACCACGACGCCCTCCTAGCCGACTTTGAGGCATGGCACGCGCGGCAAGGCCACGCCACCGCCTCGTCACCGGCGGGCCGTGGCAGCACCGGCAGAGCTGGCGGAGAGATGGGACGAGCCCTTGTGGTGCCGCATTGGCGCCAGATTCCGCACGCGGACGAAGCCGAGCAGATGTCGCCTGTCCGTCACCTGGCGGGCGCCATCGAGACCACCCCGGCCTACGTTGGCGTCGATGCCTTCGAATCCGACTACGCCGCCTCCAAGGCGAGGATGGACGCCCTGCTCGACTCGCTGCACGCCGACGACATCTTCTCGGCCCAGCTGGCTCGACGGCTCCCGCCAATCACCGTAGAGGGGCACGAGAACAAGATGCGCCTGAGAAAGGCGTGGGCGTCGGCCGAGCAGACCAGCCTCATCGTCGACGCCATCCGGGAACGGTACCGGATCGAACTGGACGGACTGCCGGACCTCGACGAGCAGCTGCGCGCCATCGAGTTCACAGCCGGCACGTGGGACGTGCAGAAGCTGCTGCAGCTCATCCGCAACCACCGAAAGGCGCTCGATCCGGGCGCCCTGAGGGCGTGGGAGTACATGGGGCGGACGCGATCGTTCTACTTCGACGCCGGCGGCTACAGGATCAAGGCCGCCGGCCCCAGGAGAAACGACGAGCGGTCGACCGAGAGGCTCTACAACATCGTCGCCTTTCCCCTCGACCGGGACGAGTCGCTGCCCGTCATCTACTTTTTGCCCATCAAGGTGCCAGACTCGCTGCCCAAACGGCGCTTTCTCCGAGGTGGAACTGGCGTCGCCTGAGCGGCATCGGCGTCGTCGTCGTCGCAGGGGTCGCTTGGCCAGCGTGCCTGGAAATCGACGCCGTCAAGAGACAAGGGTGGGGTTGCCTAGCTTAGTCCTGGTCTAGGAGGTCGGTGCTGGGCCGGTGAGGTTTGGAGAGTCAGAGGACGGGCCGTAGGTGGGAGAAGGGTGTCGCTGTCGTGACGCCTTGGCAGTATCCTCGAGCGTCGCCGGTGTTGACGGCCGAAACATCGCCGTCGTAGTGCATTGCAGGCGCGGAGCAGCCATGTCCGTCCCATCTCCCCGGTGACTCGCAGCGGGGACCAGCAACGACATGGTGCGTCGGCCAGGCATATGTTAGACCTTGCACCGCCCGTCCGCCCGCGCCGCCCGTCCGCTCGCGCCGCCCGCCCGCCCGCTTGCCCGCTTGCCCGCTCATCCACACCATACGTCTGCTCTGTCCAAACAGTCGTCCGCCCCGCCTCGACCGTCCGTTGATGCGGAGACGATGCTGAAGCGAGCAGACGATGCGGCGTCCAAGCATGGCCAACGTGCTCTGAAGCTGATCTTGGCCCCCAACCGCGCTTTCGACCCGAGGCGTATCGCTCACGGCATCCTCCGCCGTCTCTGCCTCGACCTCGACACGCCGGACCGCAGAGTCGGGCCGGTCTTGCTGCAATAGCCAGCCACAAACACGCCACCCTGCCCGCCGCCAAGCCCCGAGCAGTCATCAATGGCCATCGTCCCCACCCGGACGAGGCAGCATGCATCGCCACACTTCATCTCGCGTCACGTGTGCCTCCCCGTTGCATCGAGGTGGGTCATGCTCCTCCTCGGGCAAAATGACCTCGGCAACTCATCTCTTGGAGATGAAGTCGATTGGGCTGGACGCGGACGATGGCCTCGACCTCGTTTGCTGCAAGGCTCCGTTCCGGGAAGCAGCAGCACGGCCTTGACGCTGCTCCTCGGGACACACGAGGAGAGACCGCCTCCTTTGGGGATGATGCCTCGACGAAGGTATGTATAAGGCAGCTCGTCAAGGGCCAGCTTCTATCCTCGACAATCATCACGGCCTTGCCCTCACTGTCGCTATACGATCGATCCTTCTCCTTCCATCCCTCGTCGCCATCCTCAGTCAAGATGGCAGCAGGCCGCTTGTACGCCACTTTACTCGCCGCGGCCCTGCTGCCCTGCGCGCTTGCGCCATCGCCTCAGCAGATGTGGGATGCTGCCCACGGCGTCGCTGCGCACGCAGAGCCCGTCTTCACCGGCCACGTCGCACCCTTCGTCTCGAGCGGCCAACGTCAAGCCCAACCCTCGATGGCCAACTTTCCCGCCCATTACACGGCCGATGCTTTCGCACAGCCGGCAGCCGGATACCCGCACGCTGGCTATGGTCACGGCTACGGCTACGGCGGCGACTACTACCCGACTGCCCCTTCGCCCGCTGGCGACAACGACGCCTATCCCGACATACGCTGGTCGCCCGAGCCGTCGTACTTTGACTCAAACGTGCGGCCGCTGCCGTCGTCTCCCCGCCCGTTCCCGGACTACGGCAGTCCCCGCCGCTCGCCGTCGCCTCCCCCGGCCTATCCCGAGCACGTTCGCGTGCTCGACAGCGCTCGTCGCTCGCCGTCGCCCATCGCTTTCAGCCCTGAGCACTACGACGCCATCGACAGATTGTACCGCCTGCCGTTGACCCCTCGTGCGCAGCGCTGGTCGCCTGGACCGACCGCCCCCGACAACGACTGGCAGCCAGTTCCCCAAGCCCCGCAGCCCTTCAACGCCTTCGACGCTCCTTACCGCTTGCCATCGTCCCCTCCGATCGAGCGCCAAGCCCCTCTTGACCGTTGGTCGCCCCTGACATACCACTCACACACTGGACCGCGACCTGCTCCGACAGGTCACGTCGAAGACCACGGCGAGGTGGCGGCGACGAGCAGCGGTCCCCACGCGCAGCAGGCGTCGCCTCCTCCCGCATCCCCGGACCGGGCCGCAGGGCAATCCTTGTCGACGCTCCACCTCAGCCGGCCGCTCACCACTGTCGGTCCCGACCCGCAGCTGCGGTCGCACATGAACGCCTTCATCGCCTCGCTCGATGCCGACGGCATCTTTTCGCTCGGCGCGGCCCGGCAGCTCGAGGTGATGTCGTCCAAGCGCCATGACGGCCGGACGTACGTCAAGGTGCTCGCCAGCGAGGCGCAGACGGATCTCGTCATCGCCGCCATCCGGGAGCGATTCCGGACCTCGCTCGGCTCGTCTGCCGCAGTCGAGGACCAGCTGCTCCTGATTCGGCCTCGGCCCATGCGTTGGACCTCGACGGAAGCCAAGACGTACTACCAGGACCACAAAGCGGTCCTCGACTTTGACGATGCGATGCAGTGGGCGCACAGGGCGGAGAAGTGGTCGTTTTTCTTTGATGCCGGCGCCTACAGGATCGAGGTTGTCGGCCCGCACTGGGCCGCTGGAGAGCACGATCTCCTCTTCTACAAGGTCATCGCCATCCCCAAACGTGCAGGCATCGCCCGCATCGGCGGCGGCCGAGGAAGAGGGAGCGAGGCCCCGGTCATCTTCTTTGGCCTGATCCAGGGTCCCATGCCCTTGCTCAGCCTGCAGAAACTGGCGCGGCCGGCTCGTATCCGCGTCGTCTGAGCCGTTCCGGCATCGAGGGGAGTCTCAGGTCGTCGGGCGAACCAGCCGTCAGATGTCGTAGCACCGAGTCAGGTAGACGAGAGGAGACGGCCTTCGTAGTTTGCGAGCGTACGGTAGCAGAGTAGGAGACCGAGCAGCGGCCGCACCGCACCGAAGCAAGCGGGCTAGGCAAGACGTAGATGCAGACGCAGAGGAGTACACAGGGCCCTCCAGCCTCTCAACATCGCGGCGACAACAGTCTGCAGTAGCAGCAGCGGCGAGAGTTCATGTTTCTGTTGCTCCGCCCCATTTGCACCGTCCATCTCCGTCGTCGGCCTCTCGGCGACGCAGCGACCGCGACAGAGTCCTTGACTGAGGAACAGGCTAGGCTAGGCAAGGTCGCGCGACGGAGCACGGCCAAGGCATCGAAGGCTGGGCCGAGTACGGTCGACGATGCTCGTGAGCCCGCGGCCACGGTCATACGAATATTCTTTGCATCTTGCGCCCCGAGCTGACCTGCCACAAGGCTCAGGAAAGCAATAGCCCCGACGAGCACTAGTGAGACGAACACGAAGCCCACGGACGGCCGGCGACGACCAATCACGCAGGTCCCGAGATGAAGCTGCCCTGCACTGCTCTGAGGCCTCATCTATCGATCAAGCCGGACATTGTCCTCGTTTCACTTCAACGGGGCGAGATGAGTTCAGGAAAGCGCAACACATCCATGCCTCCGCCGAGCTCGGCCGAGGAGGAAGGATGAGCCTCGAGAAGGTCGCTCTCCCTCTGATTCACCTTGCAAGAAGCCGTTCCCCTGCTCTCCTCTTTTCCACCACCACCACCACCACCACCAACATCACCATCACCGCAAGCTTCGCCTTTGCAGTCACGAGAGATCAGCGACACACTCCACCAGCCTTGCGCACGACCTCGGCGCCGCTCAAGATGGTGCGCCCCCGCCTTTGCAAGGCCATCGTGGTTGCGGCGCTCCTGCCCTTCGTCCTCGCCGCTCCGCCTCTCCCAGAGCGGCTATGGAGCGACCTGGGCGACTTTGCCTCAGAGAGTGCCGACCACGTCTCGCCCCTGGTGTCGACTGGAGAGCAACAAGGCTTCCACTGGGCGGATCAGGTCGGACAGCCCGGTGCACATGGCTACCACCATTTCGATCCCGACCACTTCGATGGCGGTTTACCTCCTTTGACTTCATCACCGCACGCGGGCTGGAGCGGTCAGCACTACGGTAACCTAGAACATTTCGGTCAAGGACATGGTGGAAACCTCCCTGCCGAGATGTACTCACGCCCGGTGAGTTTCGCCACGACGGCCCCCGAGGCGGTCCATAGTGCTCGCCGCCATATGCTGGGCAGAGTCATGAGCTGATGACGCTATCGCCACCGCCGGCTTTGCTCGCACTCACTCGCCCCCACCCGCCTCTGCCCTCAGACAACGCACGTCGATGCCGCGGCCGGCTTCCAGCCCTTTGCGCACCATTCGCACGATCACGAGCCGCTCCGCTGGTCGCCGGAGCCGTCCTACTTCGACTCGAACGTGGACCCCTCGCCTCCGTCGCCCGGGCCCTTTGGCGCCCTGGAGTCGCCTTTGCGCTCACCGTCGCCCGCTCCCGCTCCCGCTGCACACAGACCGTCGCCCTATGGTCGGACGACTAAGCGGCCTGCCGGCTCCCTCGACGGTGAAGCATCTGGATCGCGCGTCAGCGATGCCGTCGCGGCCGCTCGCGCCACCGAATTGCTCGACCCGTCGCTCAAGCAGCACCTCGACATCTTTGTCAAGTCCCGGCATGCCGACGATGCCTTTTCGGCCGAGGCGGCATCGCAGCAGAGCCTGTTCCCGGCGCGGCCGCACAAGTCGCGCGTCATCCGAAAGGCGCCCGCGACGGGAAAGCAGACGCAGATCGTCGTCGCGGCCATCAAGGAGCGCCTCCGCGCCGTCCTGGGAGACAATCAGGAGCTCGAGGACGGGCTGCGGGAGATGACGACCCGGCGCGTGGACTGGGACGCGATGAAGATGAAGATCTTCGGCCAGAGCCACGAAAAGGTGCTGCTGCAGCCGGCCTCGGAGGCCTGGTCGGTGCTGCGCTCGAGGCGCACCTTTTTCTGGGACGCTGGCGCCTACCGCATCCGCACCGTGGGTCCGCACACCATCGCCGAAGATCCGGACGTCATGTCGTACCACGTCGTCGCGTTTCCGAAGGTGGCCGACGGCGGACGGGGCAGCTCGCTGCCCGTCATCTACTTTGACGAGATCCTCGGACCCAGGTCGGTCCTCGCGCAGCAGCAGGCCGACTGGCGCTGGAACGAGCGCGCGCGCCGTGCGCGTCGGGAGGCGAGACCGGTCGCCTCGGGCGATGCGTGATGTCCAAGGGGGAGGGGAGGCAGGTCGAAGAAGCAAGGCAGCAAGCAGGGCGGCCCGGGTCGACGGGAGGTCGGGCGTAGCACGAGGTCGAGGCAACGCAAGGCGACATTCGAGCAGGCAGCGGGCCAGATGGGTCGACGCATCGGCCCGCCTGCCTGCGTGCATACCCGGGCCAAGCGGCGGCGGTGGCAGCGAGGGCTGCAGCATGCCAGGCTGCTCTGCTCTGCAACGCGCAACGGCACGGTTGCTCAGCTCCGCCGCAGCTGGCCTTGAAGAGGAGCCAGCAGGCGGCAGGCGGCAGCTGCAGCAACAAGAGGCCAGCAGGAAGGCGTGGGTTGGGTTGGGCGGAAGCGTGGGTGGGTGGCAGATCGATTGGGGAGGGTTTGGGGCCAAGAATGTGTGCCCAGTGCGCCGAATCTGGAAACCGCCTCCGCATGGGCTCCGGCCGTGGCTGGAATGTGCCCCAAGTTCAGTCCTTCGTTTGGCTGGCCTGTGCTGGGCTCGGACACTCGGCGGGAAAGAAAAAGAGGTGCGAAATTCGGATGGAAATTCAGCTCGTGCCCGGCTGCGTGCCTGCCTGCTTGCCTGGTTGAGCCGGGCTGCGTCGAGATGCGGCTGCAGGTGCGGGTGTGGGAGCGGGTGCAATTTTGCAGGCAGGAGGCTGGGTCGCCTCACTCCACACGCTCGCTGCAAGCTTGCTTGCTCGGTGGGCTTTGAGGCAGGCAGCGTGGCAGCAGCCCTTTTGGGCCTGCGAGGTCATTTTCCAACCCGCCTCTCTGTCGGGCCCAGCCCTCTCGACCACCATCACCAACGCCATCACCACTCCGTCGTCGTCGCCGCCGCCGCCGCGACTGCGATCCCCGAGCGTCCTCGCAACTCGGTCATCTCTCCGTCGCTCGTCGCTCGCACCCGGGCACCACCCATCACCCATCCGGGCCACCCACAACCGCATCAATCACAACTTGGCCGCCTCCTTCTCCGCTTGCTTTTCCTCCCCGCCCTGCGTCCTTGTCGATCCTCTCGCCCGTCCATCTGTCTGGCTGTCGATCTGGCCGCCCAATCTCTCGACCGCTCATCCGCTCTGAAGCATCGACACCGCCGCCATCATCATCACCGTCGATCCGTTCCTCTCCCGCCAGGCCCCACGCGCAGCACCCCGCCCGCTCCCCGTGGCCCGACTCAGCCCTCTCCCTTGCTCTGAGCTTTCAAGACGGATCCGTCCATTCTCTGCACTCGACGCCGCCACCGATATCGATACCGGCATCGGTCCACGTACAACCGCTTCACTCATCGTCCCGGATCTCGTCTCGCGCTTGCCCTCGGGGTTTGGCATCCGCGCGGCGCCCCAATCCCATCGTGCATGCCGATAGCCTCGACACAGCCCGGCCCTCGCCGCCAACTTTGAACGCCTTCTGCCTCGCCGCGGGCCTCAACGCCTAGACTGCTCCCGCCTCGCCGCTCCTGCTCCACCCCGCCATTGCTTGCTCCTGCTAGGCCGCCGCCGCCGCTCCCGCCATGACCAAGATCCCGCGCCATGCCTTCTTTGCCAGGACCGCGGCCGCATCGCCTCGGTCCGCTGCAGCGGCCTCGCTCCTCGCAAAGACGCGCAGGGGCGCTCAGCTGCGCGGCTATCGTGCCCACACCACCACTCTGACCCCTGCCGATGCATCCACCTATGCCGGACCCTCTTATCCGGCCTCTCTCGAGGACCTGGCCGCTTCCGGCAGCGGTTCGACGACGCCAGCCTCCTATGCCGCCCTTCAGCACGCGTCTGGCGGGGCCGATATGAGGTCTACCTCGGCGGGCGCCACCCCACCATCCGCCTTGTCGGCGTCGACATCAACAATCGCTGCATCGGACATGCCGCTACCCTCGCCGCAGCCGCAGCCCAGCCTCAGCGCAGACAGCGGTCCACGCGGCCAGCCTGCCTCGACAGCGTCCGTCTTCTACGGACCAGAGCTGCCACCGTGGCTGCACAGCGGCCCAAGCGATGCAAGCGGCAGCACAGGCATCGCCTCGTCGTCGGCCGCCTCGTCTTCTGCCGCCGCCTCGACCACGCCCGCGCTCCGAAACAGCCATGGCTGGAGCTATCTGAGCGCTGCCGGCGCCGGCGGCAGCAGCACCGCCTCCAGCGGCGAAGGGCTGTCGAGCAGCGACGCCGCCGCCTTTGGCACCAACCGCGCGCAGCTCATTGCCCGGCACCTGCCCTCGGTGTCGACGGCGGCCGGCCTCTCGGCCATCCGCAGCCTCGCCGCCGCCAGCCCGCTCAACCTCGCCTCGCAGCGCTATGTGATCGGCGGATCGATGCCCCTCTCCGTCGCGGGTCCTGGCTCGGCGTCGTTCCTTTCGGCCGCCGCCTCGACTGCCTCGGCACTGCTGCACGCTGGCAACACCAACTTCGGCCTCGCATACGGCTTCCAGCCAGCGCGCCCGCCGTCGCATCACCAGCAGCGCAACCTATCGCTGGCAAGGTCTGTCGTCGGGGATGGCCGCGGCTCTAGCGGCAGCGGCAGCGGCAGTCTCTACGACGATCCGCGCATCCACGCGAGGGCAGCGCAGATGGACGCTCTGCTATCGACTGACTCCTCATCGTCGGCGTCACCATACCCTTCACCGGCGCCCGAGCGGGGCGCATTGCGAGCCGATGGCCGATCAGCACTACCTCTGACACGATCCGCAAGGGCCGGCAAAGCTGCTCCGCTGCGTCGTGCGGATGGCCGTGCGGCAACGTCAGCTGCCACTGCTGCCGACAGTCTCCCCGGCAGCGGCGACCACGACGCCTTTGAAGGAGGCCATGCTGGCCTAGTCCACCACATGGACGCGCTCGACCTACGCACCAGTGTCCTGTCCGACCTTGCCGTGGACCTCGACGCCACGCACTCGCTGCGCTTCGGCTTCGCAGCACCTTCGGCGGCACCAGGGACAGCCACAGCCAGGTCCGAGGCAAAAGCAGCGTCGTCCTCTCCATCTTCAGAGGTCGGACAGCCTTTGGCCTCGCAGGCGTGGACCGAGGTGCCTGCACTGAGGCAGCACCAGCAGCAGCAGAGCGGCTGGACGCTGACGGCACCGGCCGACTTTGCAGTCTCGAGCCACCTCCTCGGGCCCAGGCCCCTCTCGAGCGGATCCAGCGGCTCGTCTTCGCCCACCTCGACCTCGACCTCGACCTCGACCTCGACCTCGAGCTCTTGCTCGCCCTCGCCTTCACCGACGCCGCTGCCGCCGCCATCGCCGCCGCCGTTTGGAGGCGCATCATCATCATCCTCGTCGCACTCTTCGTCGTCATCGTCCTCGTCGTCCGGGCGGGGCGGCCCCTCGCCACCGCCGACAACGCGCGTCAGCCTCGCGCCCTCAACGGCGTCCTACGATGCCGCCGGTGGACAGCAGCAGGGGTCTAGCGTCGGCTCGCCGCTCTCGTCTTCACCGCCGACCTCGTCCGGCAGCCCGCTCGCCGACGCGATGCTGTTGGGCAAAGCCTCCGCGACCACCGCCAGCGGCAGCAGCCACGCAACCACCGCCGCCCACGACGGCATCCTCGCATCTTCTACGACGGCCGGCGCGAGCGGCGACCCGGACCACCAGCACCCCGGCCTTCCCCCCATGTGGGCCCGGGCCCTCTCGATGCCGCACAGTCGCAGGGCCAACTATACTTTTGAGCACGGCGCCTACGGCATCCCCAAGCGCCACCCGGTCGGGCCGGGCGGGCCGGGCCGGCCGGCCGGGCCGACGGCGAACGGGG